TTGCGATAGCTATTTTGACATGGCGAGATAAATTTTTCATTATCAATAAAATAGCTATTGCAACAAATATGATATCTTACTTGACTGGACGAGATATAAAGTCTATGTCGACAAACCAGAAACTTAAGTTATCATGACTTGACGAGAAAGTTATCTTGGCTTGGCATGATATGATATGTTAACAGAAAGTTATTTGGATGGCATAAATATGTCACCATAGAACTCGAATTTAAAGATACCACAGAGTCTGCCATGGTAGATCTGTTCCATATTTAAAAACAAAATAATCACAAAGTAACCAAAACTAAACTGTTTGGCAAACGAAAGCTATTTCAGTTTTTTTTTGTACCCCGCTTTCGTGAAAGCAAAGGGACATGGAATCTCATTCGTCTGTCCGTCTGTCAGTCTGTCCATCACAAAAACTTTAACCTTGGTCATATCTTTTGAATGAGAAGAGATAGGGGCCTGGGCTTTCAGATTACACATATATTTCCTGTGACAGTACTTTTTCAAAAACCTAAAGTTTAAGAGCAGATGAGAGCAACTTTTCCATATTTTTCATTTCATTATTGTATCACAGGCGAAAATCTTTTCACATTTTAATGGTCACTTATTTTCGCTACTGTACATGGACTTTATGTACTCTACATGTAGGTAACTCATTATATTCAGCTATAAAAAAAAAGAATACTATTTCAACTTATGACGCTAATCATTATCAAATGTTTTCAAATATGCTATTTCAATAATATTGAATTTAATACAAGCCCATAATTAATCTCTTTAAATAATTCTGATTCAAATGATTTTGAAACACATTTAACAGAAAGTTGTTAGTAATTTCATGATTTTGACTTGATTAATAAAACTTGTAAAATCTTGAAAATAAAAATGAACATTTTCTGCACATAAATGAGACTCTCCACAATTCAAATATTCACTTTCCTGTAAACTTATCTTGTATATAAGGATGTTCAATGTGATCATAGTTACAAAATACAGTTGACTCTTTATTTGCAATAGAATCTGTGAATCTGAATTCGCAGTCGTTTTCGTCTATCACGTGATTATAAACGTCGTTGGCTTTGCGAATGCTCGTCTCCCTCAAATGGTTGTATAGCTCGCTCTCATTTACGTCATCATCGGTCTCTGATTTTTAATTCGTCAAAGTAGCGTATGTATGAACGCTACAAGAATCTTTTTTCCTTAATATTTCATACAGATGGTGTTCATCAATTTCATTTTTGTGCACCTTGGGAGGTATCCCGTTGTATGTATCCATTTCCGTCTCAGATTCATTAATTTGTGTAGCAACAAATTCATTCACATTTTCCCGCCTTCTTCTTCATGAAACAAAATTTAATGTTTGTAAATAGGTGGTTTGAAAGGTTTGGTTATTTTTTTCACTGTTGAAGAATCTATATACACGTAGATTATATTGAACAATGAGCAGATTCTATCTAAAGAATCATTTACCAACAAAGAAATAAATAATCGGAATAATTAAATATAAATAACTAAGTAAAATTTTCAGACTTTATAAATGAATACAGGCACATTTATAAATACTCAAAATGCTTATTGCATAATTTTTTCTTTCTAGACGGCTTTAAATCTTCAAATAAACTTACTTTATACACAGCAAGGTAACTAACACCAGCAAAAGAAAAGTTGCAACTGTGGCAACAGAAGCAACAATAGTAATAATTGTTGAACCTGTTGTTAAGAAGAAATTCTATGTCATAATAACTTTACTATAAATTCTTTCCACTGAAAAATGATACACCCTTGCCTAGAGATCTCAATGATGCATATACAATAATTGTAGCAAAAATACGTATACAAATGAAAACATTTGCAACTAAACACTACTTTATAGATTTTTGAGAGATTATTGTTTCTTATTTGTTAACCTTTTTATTATGAGAAAGAAAACTAATACATTAATAATGTCAAACACCTCAAACTAGCAAATTCTCAAAAGAAAAAAGTTTCCTTTACGTTAGTTTGTTTAATTGAATAAATTACATATGTTCTTCTGATAACAATATAAATAACGTAACCTTCTTATTTTGATGATCTTTTTGTTGAAACAAGGGTAATTGGTTTTGTCTGAGTTGTAATGTCTGTGAGGGAATAGTTTTCGGTTTCTCTCATAGCCTCGGTCGTCAGGGAAACAGATGGTGACTGCATTGTTGTCTGGTCAGTGATCTGCTGCAATGTTCAATATTATTTCTTTTAAGCACAAATTTAAAATGATCAGAAATTTTATTGAAATAGACAAAAACGACAGGGGTATCAAAGAATAGGCATTACTTTACCGAATTGCAAACAGCATACTTCTTACTCGAACAAGATCCAAGATTACATCTATTATACTGACAACTTGTACATTGCAATACAAGAAAATAAATCTCAATAGGGCCTAGAAAAGTAAAATTGTACCACATAGTAAACATGCCTCAATGAATTCCATAATCATTATAATGAATGCAAATAAATAGGAATGTATCATTTGCATTCAAAAAAGTTTTAAGATCTGTCATTTGAGTTGTACAATCTAAAAGGAAGCTAACATTTGAAGAAATACCTAAATATGATGTTATATACATTTCTTTTGCTATTCCGATCCAAGCATACATTGTTCCTATGGGGGCGCCAATTCCACTACATGCTTTATTTGGATCATATAGTTCATAATCGCCATGCATATAAAGTCCTTCACTCTCACAGAACAGAGAACACTTAAACCAGCTGAGGGATGCTCTAAAGATATCTTTATTTAAAAAAAATATATGTATTTTTAGCGTAAATTGTTCATTTCTCTCAAATATATATTTTTGTGTATCAAACATATAATTACGCTATTCATATTTTTCCTAATAGAAAATGATCTACCTAAGGTGTTCAGAAGGACATGATTACATGTCATACTATGGTTTACCAGTATTCCTGCACAAACATCCAACTCCTGCAAGATTAGAACACATCAATTGAACGAAAGACTTTTGTCCGACGCAGTTAATGGCATAACAAGCTGCACTGTCCTTCGCGTTGCTGATTAAAGCCAAGTCTCCTGTGAAACATGAATATTCTCTGAAAACATGAAGTTAATGGACAATTAAATGAAAACAATTCGAATCAGTGAAAAAGTCGTAAAACAGATCCTCCGGAATTCTAGAGCTTGGATCAGGTGCCTTGGAGTACCCATTTAACCAATCGCTCCGTGAGCCGTATGTATCGATCATGCAGGAGAACGAAATATTCCGAAGTAAATATAAGATATGAAGTTAACGAACATTATTCATGCTCCAAAGTTAATTCAAGCTTTTGCAAATGGGAAGCCGAGCAAAATAGACCTCTGTAACATCAGCGGTTGGGTCAGGCGCTTAAATATTGAGAGCTATATGAAGTGGAAGATTTAACCACTACGTAATGGTGATACCAGGATATTATTTCAATAATAAGGAAAGCTTGTCAACTCGTTTGTCATTGAAGTTAGTTGTTAGTTTGTCTTTATGGTCTATTGACAGTACAATATCAAACAAGAGGCTCATGGGCCACATCGCTCACCTGAGCACTGTGGCTAGGAAAAATGAGAAATTGGTTTATTATTGAAAAGTTTAAATCCAAAATAGTCCATTGACCAATCATGGATTTGTTATTCTTGAAAAGATGATTTTTAAAGAATTTTTCTATATATATGTCTATGTAATAATTTGGTCAGCCATTGTGGCCCCGCCCTACCCCCGGGGGTCATGCTTTGAAAAAACTTGAATCATTCTGAGGATGTTCCATATGAATATGATTAATTATGGCTTTGCTATTCTTGGGAAGAAGACTTTAAAAAAAGTTTTCCTATATATTTCAATATAAGACTTTGATCGGCCATTTTAGCCCCGCCCTACCCCAGGGGGTCATGATTTGAACAAAATGGAATCTACACTACCCGATGATGCTTCCATTTAAATATCATGAATTATGGCTTTGTCATTCTTGAGAAGAAGATTTTTAAAGAATTTTCCTATATATTTCTGTGTAAAACTTTGGTCGGCCATTGTGCTCCGCCCTACCCCCGGGGGTCATGATTTGAACAAACTTTAATCTACACTACCTGAGGATGCTTCCATATAAATATGATGATTAATGGCTTTGTCATTCTTGAGAAGAAGATTTTTATAGAATTTTCCTATATATTTCTATGTAAAACTTTGGTTGGCCATTGTGGTCCCGCCCTACCCCCAGGGGTCATGATTTGAGCAAATTTAAATCTACACTACCTGAGGATGATTCCACATGAGTATCATCTTTCCTGGCACAGTGGTTCTTGAGAAGAAGATTTTTGAAACATCCCACCAAAATTTCATTAATTCCCAATTATCTCCCCTTGAATGAGGGCATGGCCCTTCATTTGAACAAACTTGAATTCCCTTCACATAAGGATGTGGCACGTTTGGTTGAAATTGGCCCAGCGGTTCTTGAGAAGAAGTAAAAATATGTTAAAAGTTTACAGACAGACAGACAGCTAGACAGACAGACAGACAGACAAACGGACGCCGGACAAAATGTGATCAGAAAAGCTCACTTGAGCCTCGGGTGAGCTAAAAAGGATACATTCAAGAGGTAAATTAAAAAAGCTGTTATGAGGTGTGTTGTATTTGTATTGTTTCATCGTGTATATTATTAGTAACATTAAATTTCTTGAATATTCCAGAGTGGTCAACATGTTTGGTCATTTTTTCTACAACATTCTTAAATTTTATGTATGTCCAGATTGTTCCAGTAATATCATGTTTTAACAACTTCTAGAATATTCTAGATTTATGATACTGTATAAATACCCAGTGTCCATTCGATGGATACTTACTTTGTCGTATAAGCACCATTGAGGTATATCTGGGATATATTTTCACTGGGACATCGTGTGCAGCAACGGACACTCTGATGTATGTATTTTTAGATTCTTGCTAAATTTTTACTTTATGATTTGTATATATTACTGTAAATAAATTATTGTTAAGTTTAAACTGTGTGATTGATCTTTGCAAGAGACGTGAAATGAATTTAGTTACAGAAATTAAGATTACAGCACCAACCAAAGTATTTGTAAAGAATGAATTTGACGCAGCAAAAAATATTAGATTATTCCAAAATTTCAAGAAAAATCTGTAGAAAATTTTTTCCCCCAATTCGAGAAAGTCGCAGAGAATCTTAAATGGCCACAACACGTTTGGTCAACAATGTTACAAAGTGTACTAGTTGGCAAAGCAGCTGAGGTATACTCTGCACTAGTGGTAGCTGAAAGTTCAGACTATGAGAAGGTCAAAGCAGCAATATTAAAAGCATATGAATTAGTACCTGAAGCATATAGACAAAAATTCAGAAAGTATAGGAAGTTTGATAATCAAACATTTGTTGAATTTTCACGAGAGAAAGAAGATTTATTCATACTGGTTTAGATCTAAGAAATTTGATAAAACCTTTGCTAATTTGCGCCAAGTCATCCTGGTAGAAGAGTTTAAGGAATGTGTTCCTCAAGATTTGAAAACACATTTAGAAGATAAGAATGTGAAAACTCTTGAAGAGGCAGCAGTCATATCTGATACTTATGCTCTATCTCATAAAAAGAATTTTGTATCAAGATCTCAGACTAGCAGCAATTCTACCAATTCAGACACATATAAAAAATTTCAGGGTCTCGTTTTTCAAATTCCCCACTCCATCCCAAGGTGGTTCTAAGTCCGGCCGGGACTTTTGAAGGATCTTTGGGAATAGGGTGTTTCCTACTTGTAGTTATTGTAAAAAAAGGGTCATCTGATCAGTGAATGCTTTAAACTTAAGAGAAAAAATGATTTTGATAAAACGCAACCACATGCTTGTGCGGCAGTTAGAGGTGATGGAAGCCTTTAGTTTCGATTTGTTCTGACACTCCTGATGTCCAGGGTTCACAGTCCAGTTCTATTGATTCTATGGAGGATTATAAGCCCTTTATGTCTCAGGGATTTGTTTCACTCGGTGACTCTGCGAAATAAAACCTGTCCAGATTTTGAGAGATACTGGTGCTGAAAGAGTTATTGTTAGAGGGCGTGCTTCCTTTGTCTGAGCAGACTTCTACTGGTGGGTCAGTTTTATTACAGGGTGTGGAGCTAGGCGTCATTGATGTTCCCCTGCATAGAATTATTTTGGGAAAAAATTTTTTAGTTCTGGACCTGTTATCGTAGGTGTTCGACCTACTCTTCCCGTTCCAGGCATTTCTTTGTTGCTAGGCAACGATTTAGCTGGTGGAAAAGTTGTACCAGATCCTATAGTTTGTGAGAAAATCACTCCAGATGTTATGTGCGATGATGAAGATGATGACATTTATCCAGCCTGTGCTGTTACTAGAGCGATGGCCAAAAACGAGAAAGGGAGGCAACCATACTCAACCCTTTTGACAGACGAATTCCTCTGTTGATATTGATTTGAATGACACTTTCTTATCTGACCTTGATGGCACTCAAACAAGCATGGAACCACACAATATCAAGAAGCAAGAGAAGAAAGAATTTTTACCAAAATTTGGTGGTGAGGATGATGTTAGCCAAGGCAAGGACATCCTCAGCCGAGAACGTTTACTCTCTGAACAAAATAAAGACCCAGATATCATTCAACTTTGTAAGAGGGCATTCCACCCGAAGAGGCTTTAAAGTTGGAGAATGCTTTTATATGAAAGATGGCATCCTTATGCGAAAATGGCGACCACCTACCTTTTCCAGATGAAGTGTGGCGTGTTGTTCACCAGATAGTGGTCCCAGCTGCTTATGTCGAGATGTATGAGTTTAGCTCACGATACACCTATGGCAGGTCATTTAGGTGTCAATAAGACTTATAAAAGGATTTTGAGTCATTTTTATTGGCCTAAGCTAAAAAAGGACGTTTCTGAGTTTTGCAAGTCATGCCATGTCTGTCAGATGGTAGGTAAACCAAATCAGAAAACCTCTGCTCCCCTCCAACCCATTCCAGCTTTTGAAGAACCGTTTAGTGAGTGTTGGTGGATTGTGTAGGACCTTTGCCTAGGACTAGATCTGGAAACCATATTTACTTACCATTATGTGTACATCCACTCGGTTTCCTGAAGCCATACCTCTTAGGAATATAAAGGCAAAGAGCATAGTTAAGGCCCTAACCAAGTTTTTCAGTTTTGTAGGAGCACCAAAGGCAATTCAGTCGGATCAAGGCTCAAATTTTATGTCGGGGTTGTTCCAGCAAACATGCATAGTTGGGTATAAGGCAATATAGATCAACTGCTTATCATCCTGAGTCCCGGGGGGGCTAAAGTTTTCACCAGACCTTAAAAACAATGCTGAAGACCTATTGTTATCAGTATGAGAAAGACTGGGGTGATGGGGTTCATCTTGTACTATTTGCTGCACGGGAACATCCCGGGGTCTCTTGGGTTCAGTCCTTTTGAATTGGTGTTTGGTATAAGTTGAGGTCCTTTTAAATTGTTGAAGGAAAAGTGGCTGACTGAGACTAGTGATCTTAATCTTTTAGATTATGTGTCTGATTTCAAAGAAAAACTTTACAATGCTTGTAAATTAGCACAAGGAAATTTGATGAGTTCTCAGATGAAAATGAAAATGTGGTATGACAAAGATGCCAGAAATAGGGTGTTTTAACCAGGTGATAAGGTTCTTGTATTTTTTCCTTTTCCTGGTCATCCTTTACAAGCCAGATTTTATCCCTTTGAAATTGAAAGCAAGATCAGTGATGTAAACTATGTAGTTAAGACACCCCAAAGTAAAGAGAAACGGGTTTGTCATATTAACATGTTAAAAGAGTATTTTGAAAGGTGTGACCGAAATTCTGTAAAACCAGTTTCCACTTTAGCCAATGCTAAGAGTGTTCAAAATTGTATTGAGAGTGATACTAGTGTAGAGATGAGTGAGAAAGATTGTAATCAGAGTGTCCGCTTTAAAAAAAAAATTTTGGCTATTTTTATGCCAAACTTGGACATTTGAACATTCACCAAAAAGAACAAGTTAAAAAATTATGAATGAGTACCATCAAATCTTC